CCGTCAGTAAAGGGAGCGCAGAATAGTACGATGAGCACTGCTCTAATCGTCTGTCCGCTTGCTCTACATGCATTTCGCTTATTTGGCAGGCAAAAACCTCCAGTCGGCCATCTGAAAGAACGCGAGCAGCGTAGATCACTGCACGTCAATATCTAAAAAGATAAAAGTTTGACTTTTCGCTGTTCTCCGTAGGTCATGACTTGTTCATCTCGCTTTTACACCCCATCGAGTCCAAATGTGCTTAGAGGGAATGTTGTCTGTTGCTGCATGTGCCTTTGAGCATTATTTTAACGTCCTTACATTGATGATGGCTGGGAAGTTCTGCGTACCCTGGCCTGCCCGTCATGATATGTTAATGTATTGTATTTGACAATCTATGTGAGCTATGCCGTCGCCGCTAACATTTCAGCTCTGTGCTTAATACACCCGGCGTGTGTTATCTATGCTTCGGGTGTATTTTCACGCTGTCTTATCGTTCCCCAAAGTCAACCGATCAAACCCATACAGTTGCCTTCTCTGGGGACAGAGTGTATGCTGTGTTCGCACATCGCTAACTGGTGGCGGTCTATTTCCAGTTATCTCGCGCCGTCCAGCAGCCCGTCTTGGTGCCGACCCGCTGTTCGTGCGAGATGTCCAGGTCATGAGCTCGTCTGACCCCTTGACCGTCCATATGACCCTGGAGGTGGCCCAGTGTGCATCCAGTCTGTCTTTGTTCCGAGTGGCCGGAACAAACGGGACAGGTACGGCGGAGGGAGGGGGAGTGGACCTGAGCCTTGTCTAAAGCCTGAAGCCTTCTGTTCGAGGCAATGTTTTTCACGCTCGCTGTGATTCAGCCATCCAGACAGGGGTATCGACTGCAAAGGGCCTGAGAGGGAGGCAAATAACGGCTGCATGTAAGGATTTCTGCGTATGAGGGACGCATGTGCCTCATTAACTTGACTGTAAGCTGGAACAAAATTTGTCGAGATTCTCGTACCAAGTTTGCCTGCATTACCTTAGCATCAGTATCAGTTTCTGCATGCGCATCATGTACAGATTGTTTACTCATCTGCCTTGCATGGTTTGATCTTGCCCTGACGTCGTCAAGGTACCGACAGTCACCAGTGGGCCTGATGGTTGATGGCGCAGTTAACGATGACGGTTGATGATGCGGCGCGCAGGCAGCCGTCTGAGGGCCCCAACAGTGCGGGGCGCGGGATACTCCCAGAGCGGAGGCGGACCAGGCAGGGACGCAGGATACTCCCAGAGCGGAGGCGGACCAGGCAGGGACGCAGGACACTCCCAGAGCGGAGGCGGACCAAGCTCATTTGTAATGACAGTCGATTTGTGACTTGCCTCTTTCCGTTCTGGGACAGGAGTTCATACAATGGGGTCCACAGTGTTGCCGCTTTTGTTTCTGAGAGCAGAACAAATGGGTTCCGATAGGGCGCGACTTGGCAATTAGTATGGTGGCTGCACCAAGCGAAACGGCTGTACGTGCACTAACGGAGCTGCGATAGGGCACAACCTGGGAGTTAGTATGGCGGCTGCACCAAAAGAACAGAAGAGGTACCTGAAGCGCTGGGTGTGGGCGAGTACCTAAACGTAACCCACGGCAGTACCGCGTGTCCTTTTACACGTGCTCATTTGAATCCGAGGTAATCACTTCAGCCACCCCACGTTGGGCACGTGACTTTCACCTGGGTACTGCATCCTCACTCCACAGCAGCAATGCAATGCCAGGATCGTGGAGGTCCCGTGTGCGGGGCCATCGGATGATGCCCGCGCGGTGCCGTCGCAGCCCCTGGGGGCAACTGAGGCGCCCACTGTCGGACAACGACATCTCCCACTGAGCGAACGCGGCGTCGGACACGGACCGTGGCGTTCGGCGATGGGGCGCACTGCCGTTGGGGTTGGCCTTGGTTTTCCGTAAGGTGCGCCACGCTGGCGACAGCTCAGTGCACGTCAGGAAACAAATGTCGGGAAAGGAGAAGCGCGCGGGGCAACACGTGGACAAATGTGGCACGCTACACGCGTCGCTATGGTGTCAACGCTCAACTTTATGAAACGTGGCTGGGTCACACTGTCGAGTTGACCCGTCTGTGCTGGCGGTTGCGGTCAGGTCGCGCGGCCATGCACTGCCCGGGCTGATGACGGGGTGCGGAGGAAGGTAGCAGCCGAGGCAGCACGCAGCACGCGGTGGTGCTGTCTCGGCTGCTGGCGTGGCGGGCGACTGGCAGCACGCAGCACGTGGTGGTGGTGCCTCGGCTGCTGGCGTGGCGGGTGGGCCGGCAGCACGCAGCACACGGTGGTGCTGCCTCGGCTGCTGGCGTGGCGGGCGGTCGGCAGCACGCAGCACGCGGTGGTGCTGCCTCGGCTGCTGGCGTGGCGGGCGGCCGACAAGCACCGCAGCACGCGGTGGTGCTGCCTCGGCTGCTGGCGCGGCGGGCGGCCGGCAGCACGCAGCACGCGGTGGTGCTGCCTCGGCTGCTGGCGTGGCGGGCGGCCGGCAGCACGCAGCACGCGGTGGTGCTGCCTCGGCTGCTGGCGTGGCGGGTGGCCGGCAGCACGCAGCCGTCGGTACGCCCGTACCCTACAGGCGACCTCTGCGGTGCACCAGGACCCGCGACCGCTGGGCGGGAAGAGAGTTGCGACGGAATAAATGAGCATGGGCATTCTGGTCGTCTATCAGCTTCAGCCAGCTCGGTGCTCGGATAGGATGCCTATTGTTAGGCAGCACTTGCGCCGCCTGAGCCCACGCGTCAGCCCCGCTTGCTTGCTTCACGCGATGTGTGCCCATTGCGTCCAACCGGCGTTTTCTGCACGGAAGCTGCAGCAAGCCTGCGCATTGTGATAGTGTGGGACGGATCGGTACAAGTGAACACAAGCAGGGCGACAAGAACCAAATAAGAACCGAGGATCCGCTGGATGGCTCACTTCACATTCGGTGTCGCCTCGTAATTGATATTGGGTCTGACACGCTGTCAAGTATTTGTCCCTCCTGACGAGAGCTCCCAGTTCTTTTTGTCCTCCCTTAATTGTACAGACGGAAGGTCCTTCGCCCTCTCATATCCCGTTGAAACGATGCGCAAAGTCGTCGACGATGGACAAAAACTTCTTCATTAGCCATTGCCTCTTCCAATGAGCAATACGCCTGGTTAGAAAAAGGCAATCATTGCTGGATGTAGTCGTAGTCCTCCCTCGTTTTTGTGCCTCTCGTGCGACATGTGACAGTGTCGACCCAAGCCGATCAAGGACGTATTTACACTGCAACGGTGACGGCTGATTATGGACAGCATGCGAGGCAGTGCAGCCCTAGCCGTCGGCCCCAGTCGGCACTGCCCCGTTGTTTGAGCTGCCGCCCAAATCAGACGAAATCCAACCTTAAACACGTGAGTGTAGCAGACAAAACTGTATCCCCGTCCCCACACGCCTCGGAGGTACCACTCTGCGCTGGTCGTCACTCTGCATAGCTCGCGGCATCTCGAGCCGTCCTACATAGACACGCGCACCACGCGGTTCGGCAGAAGCTGTCACCGCGCGGCACTCGCGCGGCCCCGCCAGCACGAGGCTCTGACGCCTCGCCCCGGTCCGCGCCCGCAGCCCTGAGCGACACGTCCAAGCTGGACAGCCTGGAGATGACGGGCGCCGATTGGGGGGGCCGCCTCCGTCCGGGTGGCGAGGAACGTCAGCGCCAGCCCCCCGCCGTCCGGCACCTTGGGACATCATGTTCGACGGACCGCACCATCGCAGGTAGCCGGGCGGTGGCAGTCTGGGCGCGCTGGACGAGGGCTGGGACGTCCTCGTGCGGTGTGTCGGCTGTATTCAGCGGAGCTCGGACTCAGATGTCATGTGGTTTTTGAGTGTGTGCTGTTCGTAATGTGTGAAACGACGCCCTGGTTGCCAGGCAGACAGAGCGTTCTTTACTTCCTGTTGCTCGTCGAATTCCATTCTGACTGTCAGACGCAGTGCTATTCCCACTTCTGGTGTCAAATCTCGTCCTTTCGGGATGATGGCATACCATTTGTCAAACTTCCCTCCCCTGGTATACGGCGGTCACCCCTCTTTGCTCGCTGCATGGCATCAAGCCCTCGCCGCCGTCAGCTAACGCGCCTTCGCCGCCGGCCAGGCGTGCCGACCAATCTGACGGCGGAAGGCATGACCCTGCTGCTGGGCACAGGGCTGGCCATGCCCGGCATGATCGTCGCCCGCTGGGGCGCGTGCCACAACCTCCACTGGAACGTCGCCTTCCGCCACCACGGCGGGCGGCAGCCGCTGCTCGCCGTTAACGGCAGCGGCGTGCTCTTTGACGGGTACGGCCCGCTGGCAGCGGCGCGGTCCCAGCCAGCCGGCCGCCGAGGGACGGTGCTTTGGAGCCGTCGGCGGCCGGTGGTAACAGCGGCCGCCGGACGCTCTTTGATGGTCATACAACGCACAGATATGGTCGCTGAGGGGTCACACGGGGCTGGTCGCTTGCTGGGACCGCTTCTGGGCGCTGGGTGTGACGTGTGGTGTTCACTTGGTGTTCAAGGGGTGAGCTTGCCGGTCATGTGTTCCAAATGAGTGCCGAGGATCACATCGAGAGACATCGCCAAGCACATTTCATTCGAGGTTAAGGCATCGTATTTTCTCCGCCATCTGGGACATGTGTATCGCGGGCGGTCGTGTTATGACGTTGTATAGCACCATAATGATCTTCCAGCCCCATCCGGCTGACTAGGCGAAGCAACATTATTCCCTAGTTCAGGCAACCTACGTATCAGGCTTGGTGTCCACAAAAAGCAACGTTTCCGCGTGTCTGCGTTCTCTCAATCAATAAAAACTATCATGCAACTAAACTCGCCCTTAAAAGGTGCGCTCTTTGTTCTGGACGGCATTCACCTGCTGGCCGGTTATAACCAGACGCCCCTGTTTTGTCCAGTGACAACCTGCAGGTCGGCGTGTGGAAGGACACGACGAGCGGGGAGGGCGGTGTGACGCACCCGTACCTGCCGGCGGACCTGACCCGCCAGCCGCTGGCGCAGGCCGCCCTGCAGGTCCAGGTCAGCGTGGCCGGCGTGACGGGTCAGTGCGCCAGCGACTGTCAGGTCACGTACGACGCCGCGCTCAACTCTCTGGTCACCGCCGTCACATCGGAAATCGGTGTTGAGAACTTGCTTCCAACCGGCCTGTGAGCAGAAATGTCAGCCCTGGTAGTGGCCGACGTGAAACACTGTTTGGCGTATTTTTGGCAGGCCTTCAAGCGAGCTGGTAGACGCGTTGAAATAGCATTCCGAGCGAGAAAAGTGGATCCATATAATTTGCTTTTAACGTACATGGTTTACTGCGCTGCATTTTTGCTTCTATTGTCCATGCTCAGCACAGCCATGCCGTAACCTTGTTAAATCGAATCTTGGAGCAATGCAAATTATTGTTCGACTAACCCTCCGTACTAAAAAAACAACACTCTTCAAGCGGAATGAAACTTGTGGTTGCCAGAGGATGACACAGGAGACGTCACCGTGGCCCTGACCGGGGTCAACCTGGGCTCGACCACCGAGGGGGTCAGTGTGACCTTGACCGGCGCCATGGCCACCCGCAGCTGCACCGTGACCTCTGCCACGAGCACCCAGGTCACATGCACCGCCAACAGCGTGCAGGCGGGGAGGTACAACGTGACCCTGACCGTTTCCAATCAAGGTACTGGACGTTGCTGCGCCTCATTTGGTAGGGTGTGGAGGCTGATCAGTTGCGACAGACAAGAAGGGTTTGCATCCCGGAAATTGCGCTTGTATAACTGGTCTAATTGTTCTATGGCAGTTAGCAAGACATTGGTCAGGAAGACTAGGCTGACGTGGGATGTCATGAAATTGCGTGAAACGTTGTAATTGCATGCTACTTGCATGTCACGTATTCGTCACTTCATGGAAACAGCGTTCCATTCAATGGCTTAAGACCTGCGACAGTTGGTTTCGTATTTGCGATGCTACACTTTCTCCATTTTAGCACCCACACTTCCCGTGCACATCCAGGTTACATGCCTACACGATAGGACCTATACATATACATTTTGCATACGTACACAAGTATAAGTGGATTGTAACATTAAAACCAAAAGCTGTCATGTATTGACATACACGCCCAGCTCCAGTCATACCTTGTCATATTTACGCCGGCACCCACGGCCGGACACGGTGCTCCTCCGGTGAGACGGTGCGGACCGGCAGGCATGGCTTCCGGTGGCGGCTCTGTGGACGTGACCCCGCTGTTGACCTCGGTGACGCCGGGTCAAGGCAGCCCGCTCGGCGGTACCGTGATCTCCGTGCGGGGCCGCCGGCTGCCGCACGCCCTGGCTGGCTGGCAGTTTGGCGAAGTCACCGTAGGCGGCGCCACCTGCCGAGTTATCAACACTACGTCTACAGCCTCCAGCTGCGAGATACAGGGCACTGTGGTGAGATCATGGAGAAGCACGCAGCGCTGGGATGTAGCGATCGTTTTTCCTATCTTGGAGTGAAGATAGGCTGGGCGGAGTTTCTGTCATATTCTGTTTTGTAATACTCTAGGTCACGTAGCTAAGCAGCACGTGCTCATTATTGCATTCATTGATGTTGCGCTGGTAATTCTTAACGACGAGATCCGCACCTCAAGGTGCATTGAGCATATATGACTTTTGTCAGTATGCTGGCAAATCTAGATTGACATATTCGGAAATCATTAGAGTTTGCGTCGTGCTTGGTGTCCAAAAGCTGTAGCAACACGGGCCGTATTTTTTGCGCATCGTCATCACTGACGTTAGCGCAGTAATGATCGCAGTTTGACCGGTGTCATCGCATGCAGGTGCACGAATGTCATCTTGGACTTCAAAAATAGCCCTGGTCGCTCATAAACACACCTGAATTCGTAAAGCACAGACATTATCATGAAGCGTCTCACTACGTTTAAACCATTGACAAATTACTGGACGGAGTCATTTAGCTAATGGGCCTATAAAAAAAGTTCCTACTTACGCAACGTTCACGCAACCCGCTGCCCAGCTTGGCGTCCCTTCAACAAGTCACCGTTCAAGGGGTCCCGCCATCGGTAAGCACTCGTAGAACAGATTGCACTTCCCTGTTCATGACCTCGAGCACGCCTGTGATGAGCGCAGCCCTGCTCGCTGCCAGCGGTGGGCGGGACCGCTGCTCCGCCGTTCTGTCGGTGCTTCCTGCGCCGGCGCCTCTCCGTGCCGTCCTCACCGTGCCGCGCCCACCCCAGGGGGAGGCTGCCACAGCGGCGGACGTGACGGTGACCTTTGGTGACCGGAGTACGGCGCTCGCCGCGGCGTTCAGCCCGCTGGCCGAGAACGCCGTGCTCTTCCGCCATCAACGTGACGTCATCAGGAGCAGCAGGTCAGCGGCGGTCAGCGCTGGGACAGCGCTGGGCAGCGCCGGGAGTGGAAATCGGGGCTAGTCTCAGAACTGGCGCCGGGGCGTTGTCGGAAGATCTCTTCCAATGTTTTGTTTTCGGCCGGCTTTGGGAATTGGAATACCATGTTCACGCATGGAACGTGTGCGGTATCTTTCTGTGTTGGAAGTAGGGTGAGTTTTTGTATGGAAATGCTTTATATGGTTTCTGATCTCATGAACCTCGGGTTGAATGCAGCTGTTGCCTGTTGTTTGAATGCACTTCACATGCGACTGCATTCGGAGGCAAGTAGCAAAGAGTGATTCTACCACATGGAGTAATGGTATCTCAACTCCAAAGTCGGGGTTCCAACGAAAAACTGCCCATGGCCCACCATACGCAGTGGAATCTGTTTCTTACTCAACAAGTACGGGTCACTCGGAACCCCATTTCCCCCTCAAATATCTATGGCCATTTGACTGTGGTATGTTACGCCGCTAACACTGGACAATTACAGAACATGGTTGCTGCACCAAAGGAGTCCGAACCCTGAAACCTCCGACCCCAGACACTCACCGCGGTGCCCGGTACCCTAGGAGGTGGTCCCCAAACACTCCAACGGTGCCCGGTACCCTCAGGAGGTGGCCAACCCAAACACTCAAAAACGCGGTGCCGGTCCCTCGGGAGCGTGGTCCCAAACACTCACAACGGCGCCCGGTACCCTTCAGGAGGTGGTTCCCCAACACTTCACAACGGGACCGGCTCCCTCAGGAGTGGTCCCCCAGACACTCACCGCGGTGCCCGGTCCCTCAGGAGGTGGCCCCCAACACTCACGCGGTGCCCGGTCCCCTCAGGAGGTGGTCCCCCAGACACTCACCGCGGTGCCCGGTCCCTCAGGAGGTGGTCCCCAGACACTCACGCGGTGCCCGGTCCCCTCAGGAGGTGGTCCCCCAAACTCACCGCGGTGCCCGGTCCCTCAGGAGGTGGCCCCCCAAACACTCACAACGGTGCCCCCCCTCAGGAGGTGGCCCCCAGACACTCACCGCGGTGCCCGGTCCCTTCAGGAGGTGGCCCCCCAACACTCACCGCGGTGCCCGGTCCCTTCAGGAGGTGGTCCCCCAGACACTCACGCGGTGCCCGGTCCCTCAGGAGGTGGCCCCCAGACACTCACCGCGGTGCCCGGTCCCTTCAGGAGATGGCCCCCCAAACACTCACAACGGTGCCCGGTCCCTTCAGGAGGTGGCCCCCAGACACTCACCGCGGTGCCCGGTCCCTTCAGGAGGTGGCCCCCAGACACTCACCGCGGTGCCCGGTCCCCTCAGGAGGTGGCCCCCAGACACTCACCGCGGTGCCCGGTCCCTCAGGAGGGTGGCCCCCAACACTCACGCGGTGCCCGGTCCCTTCAGGAGGTGGCCCCCAGACACTCACCGCGGTGCCCGGTCCCTTCAGGAGGTGGTCCCCCAGACACTCACCGCGGTGCCCGGTCCCTTCAGGAGGTGGCCCCCAGACACTCACCGCGGTGCCCGGTCCCCTCAGGAGGTGGCCCCCAGACACTCACCGCGGTGCCCGGTCCCTTCAGGAGGTGGCCCCCAGACACTCACCGCGGTGCCCGGTCCCTTCAGGAGGTGGCCCCCAGACACTCACCGCGGTGCCCGGTCCCTTCAGGAGGTGGCCCCCAGACACTCACCGCGGTGCCCGGTCCCTCAGGAGGTGGCCCCCAGACACTCACCGCGGTGCCCGGTCCCTTCAGGAGGTGGTCCCCCAGACAGGGTGGTCCCCAGACACTCACCGCGGTTCCCGGTCCTCCGCAGGAGGCGGCTTCCTGGGCATCAACCGGTTCCGGGTTCGGCCCGGTGCAGGCCGACCAATCAGTGCCGGTGGGCGGGGGCGCCGTGTGACGTCACCCCGCTGGCGCGAGGAGGCCGTGACGTGCCGACTGCCGCCGCTCGGCCACGGCCAGCACGCCGTCCAGCTGCGCAGGGGTCAGCTGGGCCTGGCCGACAGCAGGTGTGTCATGGGTCCAGGGTCATGACCTGTGCCGTCACCCAGCCGTGTCGAGAGCTCTCTCCATCGCCACGTGAGGCTGGGATTTTAGCGGCTTTTGTGAGTGCAAAATAGCTGAAGATGCTCCAAGACCACCAAGGAGCATGGACAAAATGTATTATTAGCGCGGTCAAGGGAGATTTTAGCGATCGCCTTTAGCGATGGTGTGCTCTGCTGTATGCAAGCCCCAATGGTTGGCCAGATACCAGAAGACGCTCGACCTCGCAGAAAGCTTATCTATCCAGTGGATGGATGAAATATTGTCCAGTCAGCGAACTTTATATTACAGCAATCCGTAGTTCACCGCCAATACATCGCCCGGGTGATAATTGAGGACGTTGTCCACCCAAGCAAACTGTATCGTCCAGAAGTATGACCATACCGTATCTTGCTACCCAGGTAGTAACGCAACATTTGGGCCGGAAACAAAAACGGTAATTATTTTCCACAGTGGCATTGGAGCGATCAGCTACCAGTTTACAGTCTCTGACATATCACCGCGCCTCGTCTCCGCAATGGGAGGATCCACCGTGCGGATCACGGGTCAGGGGCTAGCCGCCGACTGCCAGAGACTGGACATCACGGCCGGGGACGCCTTCGTCTGCGAGCCGGTCACCTGTACCGACACGGAGATCATGTGCCTCGTCAACAGACGCCGGCGCCGCCACGTGATTCGCAACAATGCAACACACCCGCGTACGTCCCGTCCCAGGATTTCCGGGCCGGTTGTTGTCATGCGCCGTTGTGCAGGATGCGCAAGCGATCATGGAACTAGAGGTTTGCAACTGGTATTATGCATGTATGCCATCAGCTTGTCAATGTTTTCACCCCTGTCGCTGTTCTCACCACACACCACATCGTCTTACAGTCCTGGTAGAGCCCCTTCTCACCTGGAGCGTGCTGCGGCCGCCAGCCAGAGCCGATCTCACTGCCGTCCTGGTGGGGGGGGGGGGGGGGGCGGTCGAGCGCCCACACGTACCTCGAAGTCGGGTCCCGTGTGCGGGATGGGGCTCGGCAGCGGTGACAGCCGCCATGATCCCAGCTTGTCCCACCCCTTGCCTGTCCCTTTACTCCCATAGCACTCAAATGTTCAGTTATGGACGAAAGAGGATTAACCTAACTTGCGCAACCCTCTAGTTTTCGGTGGTACATATCCGTGTAGAAATATCCCAAACCTCCAGTAGTATTCAGTGGCGTTCAGCCGCGTAGAAATAGCCCAAATCTCTAGTTGTACTCAGTGGTGCATATGCGCGTAGAAGTAGTTGCGATCGTCGAAGAGCTATCGGAGTATGCCTTTTTACCTACACGCTTATCGTTGACAGTAAAAATACTGCCCTTGCTGTAGGGCCACGTTTTTCGTGCCCGCATCTCCAACCGTTAGCACCGCAGAACAGATCATCTGGTGCTGACGGAGCTGTGCGCGGTCGCCAGGTTACGGCCCTGGCTACCTGTGGCAGCCGCAGCACCTGACCGTGTGGCCCGGTGACCTGGTCACCTGGCGCTGGGCGCCGGGCCAGGTCAGCTCCGACCAGGTGGGCTTCTCGGTGCACCAGACGGCCGACCAGCACTCGGACGCGTACGACGGAGCCGGCTTCAACAGCGGCGACAAGACGCCGCAAGGTGTGTGTCTGGGAGCGGTACGCTGAGAGATGGGCCGAGCCTGGGAGCGGCACGCTGAGAGATGGGCCGTGTCTGGGAGCGGCACGCTGAGAGATGGGCCGAGTCAGCTGACGCACTGCCGGGGATGGCGGCTAATCTGCTGACAACCGACGATGAAAGGGCAGTACCTGCGTCGTCTCAGTCTGTCGTTCGTCCTGATCGTGGGCATTTCATAACTATTGATGTACGTGAATGAAAGCAAGGTCCCTGCGAAGGACTGACAAAGGGTGCGATAACCGTCAAAGCGTCGGACGTTTGCCGCAGGATCATTCACCACCATGCTGGAGGACATCGGCACCGTCTTCTACTCTGGCGAGTCGGTCGGAACCAACGCAGTGCGCATGCGCGGGGTCATCCACGTGGTGGCGCCGCCGGCTGGCAGCGGTGTCCTGTCCGTCCGGGTGGGCTCCGTGGAGGCGGAGTCGACACCAACCGACGGGGATAGTACGTACACTGCTGGTGTAAGCTAGCATGTTGGTATGGATCATGTCACTCGCGTCGTGGTCGGCCAGTGTCGCCCAGTGTGCATTAGCTTGGTGCGGCTTACTAAGCAGGCCTTGCTGGAGCATGAATTGAACAAAGCTGATGGCATTACGTGTCAGTGCGATCCGTGTGATTGGTATACGTGCTCATAATGCGTGCTCATAACTGCTTGGTATTGTCGTTCAAATGGCACCTCCAGGTGTAATGAAGCTCTTTTGATTTCAACAGATGTTTGCACATGGAGGGGCAGCTAAGGGGAAGGAGGTCCCGGGGTCCCAGGAACTTCTCCTTTTACTCAGGGGCCCTGTATAGGCCTTTGCGCTCGGAAACGGGATACAAGTATGCCAACAGGATTGAGATCCCTCCCCTCGCTTTAAGAAATTCTGAATGCTTACACATGTTTTGCGTACCAATCACGGAAGGCACTGTATGGTGGCCGTGATTATGAAAGCTGTGATTTCGGCCAATAACCTTGCCTTTGCTGGTAAAGTCCACTTCCTCTGTGCTCACTGTGCGTGG